AGCCGGTGCACTGCTAGGAACCCCATGTGTGGTTATACCTCCCCTGTTAGCTGTGTCGTCAGAGCTGGCACTGGCCTCGATGCATTCTTTATCCTTTCTCTGTTGGATAGAGTTCATTCTTAGCCTCGCAGAGTCGGGGAGCCATGCTCAGCTTAGTAGCTCAGGTGGAGTCATGGGCCATGAGCAGAATGCTTTCTTGGCCTCACTGAGCTTTCTAAGGCAGTTAAGGGCCACAGGGCTGGGCTGGCCAGACAGTGACTTTCATTGTCTCAATATCCCCCCCTGTTGGGCTTTCAAAACCCAGCCACCTTGCCTCTTGTGCTTTTTGAATGGTTGTTTCCAGGACACTGGATGTCAGAAAAACAAAAAATTCTGAGTTAGAAGAATAACCCTAGCCTGGAAATTATAAAACCAATTGACTCAAGCAGAGACAATCAACAAATCTATTCTGGATGAAGCCTTGAATTAAGACCTCCAATGGGGACCTGTGGACAGGCTTCCCAAGATCTAAGTCTCTTTGAATCCCAAAGACTTGAAGACCAGTACTCCTAGAGAGCTCTTGTGGGCTTCTGTTTCACCAGGTGGAAACTCTCTCCTTTTCCCATCTTAGTGCCTCTGTTGACTTGTCTTCTGCCATCTTTCCTATTCTTTAGTTATTTTGGCTTTTTAAATTCAGGTTTATTGTGGGATAATTCACATTTAGTAAAACGTTCCTCTTTTATGTGTTGTTAGCTAAGTTTTGGCAAATCTACACAGTTGTGTAGCCACCACCACTCTCAAGTTATAGAACAGTGTCATGGCCATGTAAAGTTCCCTTTTGCCCTTTTCAGTCAGCTCCTTCCTTCAACCTCCCTCTACCTCTAGTGCCTTATACTTTTGCTGTTTTCCAGAACATCAAATGAATGAAATCACGACCCTGTGTGTCTGGCTTCCTTCATTTAGCACAGTGTGTTTGAGATCCATCCTTGTTGTTGCATGCATCAGTTGTTCATTGTTTTTCTTGCCACCTGTCCCTTTCATTTTGACAGGGCCTAGGGACTTCCCCTTCAAACCCACTTGTAGGACTACACGAAAATACCCTCAACTGGGGTTGGAGTTTCACCAACCAATGCTACACTTTGGCTCCTGAAATCAGCCTTGAGCCACTGTAGTAATTGCTGCCAAAGAAATCTAGAGATACTGGCCTTTTCTAGCAGTGCACTGGAGCAGCCCTGGGTGGTGGAGCTTAGCAGCGGTGCAAATCTCTCTTGGTGTCCCACTATGGTGAGAAAGATATGACTGGGGAGGAGCAGAACATGTTGGATGGGAATTTTTCAGAGGACAATAATTCTTAATAAAAGTGTTCATACCAAATCGAGCACTTCCACTTAGAATAACTTAATTCTTAAAGAACAAAACAAGGGCTTAGGATGAGGATGAGACTACCCAGACCTTTCAAATCCACAATAGAATTTTATGCATATTACTCCTAACAATCTGGGAACTAGCTTTAAATCCTGCCTTCACCGGTGTCTTTTTTTTTTTCCCAGATAGTGTCTTCTTAGTAGTGTGAATGTGAGAATCTGAAAAATGTATATTTTATTCTTTTAAGCAGCTGTCAATCGTAATCAGAGCCTGCAGTGGATTGTTGTGCTTTCAGCAAAGGGTGACTCCCAGAAGTTTTGAATCTTGAGCCAAAAGACTCCCAAATGACCCAAGGAGAAAAACTCAGAGGATGCAATATCTATTCTGTGTTTCAAATCAGACGGAGAACAGCTCTATGTTTATAAAGTTTTTCCCCATAGTTCTGCTTCCAATTTGGAATCTCAAAAAAGAGACAAATCTTGAAAATAAGGAAACGGTTAATTAAACTGCTTCAAATATAAGAACTTGAAATTTAGCTTCCGAAAAGTTTAGGCTATTCCCTAAACTCAAAGATCTACCCCAAATTGGTACTTAATGAATTCTAGTCCTTTATTAAATATTTAACATCAAACTCATCTTCTTCCTATTTTTAAATTGTGAAAGAGAATTGCTTTTAAATAATAAATTTAGGTTAAAGGAAAAGGCAAAGACTATTAATGGCTTCCAAAACCTCTTCTAAGTACGTTCTAATGTATCAGTAGATGAGAACAAAGAAGGGACAAGACTCCAGCCTGCTGAGAATAAGTCCCCAAATGATCTGGGGTACACCTCCTGCCTGCCAGAGCACCTCGCTTATCAAGGGGCAGGGATAGAGGCAGGCCAGAATGCACACAGCCTCCCAGCCCACCAGTTGCTCGCTTGACTTCTGTGAATTTAAATCTGTTTAAACTATAATGAGAAGATTTGAAGTGTTGTTTAAAATGGAAATTTTGTTTACTTATATATAAGTAATAATCCCTGTGGACTTGGCAGCCAGAACTCAATTAAGGGAAAGTTTATTAATTAGTCACCCTGCAGGGAAACTGAAAGTGGAGCATGCTGCAGTTAACTGGCCATTGGAAGGGTGGATGATAGATTCAAAGAGATCTGTGCTGCAAGAACTAACCCAGTCTGTGTGTATGTGTACCTGCATCTTATACACATGTGTGCATTTCATATACACATGTAAGTAGACAGACAGAAGGGTTTTAAACATTTCCAGTCAAGATAGGAAAGCAAATTCTTTGTTGATGTATCACTGTTGTGTGGATAGTACTACTAGATTAAGCTTAAACTATCTCCCTGGCTTAAAAGGTTTTTAGAATATTAGTACAGCTGATTCTTCACTGTTATGAAGGCCTACCCAGCTTTTCTAAGCTAAATCCATAATGACTCGAGAGCCTCCTTGGGAATTCCAGCACTGGGGAAGAGATCCTAAAGTGCTGATGATCAACTGTGCCTGGGCATAATGGGTGTATTAGACATCTAAAGCAAGATGGTTCTAGTGATACTTCAGGCAGTGCATGAGTGATACAGGAATTTTTCTTGTCCTGTTGATACAGTTTTTTTTTTCTTTACTTGTAATAGAGCAAATATGTACACACATGAGAGTGAGTGTGTGTGTGTGAGAGAGAGAGAGAGAAAGAGAGAGAGAGAAAAGCACCCAGTCCTCCACTTATATGTTTGTCTAGCATGTTTTAGGTTCACTAGAGCCAGGATTCAAACCACATTTGCCATGTGGTATCTGGCTTCTCTTGAGCAGAGAACCCACTGTGCCACAGAGCTGGCCCCCAATAAAGATAGTCTTAAAAGTATCACGTTGATGGACTGGCACCATGACCTAGTGGTTAAAGGAGCTTCATCTCTCATGGCCAACTATGGCTTGAATCCAGGCATCTGCAGCTTGAAGAACACACCTGGCACATGTACATGCGTGCCCCAGATCCCAGTAGGTCAGACAAGTAGAAGAGAAGAGATTGCAGTGTGACCAGGCCCCACTGAAAGTGCTTTCTTCCTCTGTCTGTCTTTCTGTCTCTCTCTGATAAACATGCATACTCTCTGACAACTAAAAATAAACTAACAAAAAATATCACTCTAATAGGTCATCTAAACTTGAGAGTCAAGAATGACACTGGGTCTCTGATTTGTTCATTCATTTGTTACCTCTAGGGGAAGACTTGAGGCCAGCTGTGGGCCGGGCTGTCTGTGCGTGTGCACGTGAACACTTGTGCTTGCATCTGTGCCTGCAGTCATCTGTTTACAATGCTGATCCAACTGTTGCCTTTCAGTTCTTTTGAAAATAAACCACTGTCTTCACATATCATAAGATGTCTTGCCTCAGCTGATGTAATGTTCTGTCCAGAGGTGTGTGGTCCATATGACTCTAGAGATTCATTATTTGTGTGGTGGACATAGGGAAAGGGACCTAGGAAAGAAGCTGACTTCTAGAGAAGGTGGAGCTAGGCCTCTGCTGCCCCTAGCGGCAAAGTCCAGTACAGCAAGAATTCCCACACGCTGCAGGGCACTCTTTTCTTCCCCTTGATCGATAAAGAAATGACAGTGTCGTTTTTTTAGGCGTTTGTAATACAACTTTTAAAACTTTGTCCAGGATACAATACCCCGAACTTCCCCGGAACAACCTTGATTTCCCCCAGTAATCATTCATGGCCTTCCCAATACCGCATTAGTTACAAAGCTGCTGTCCAGCACTCTCAGCAAATAGCCAGGTTATTGTTTAATGAGAAGAGTTCATCTGCTGAATTATGACAGTTTCCTTCTTTACAGCTTCAAGATCTCCTCATCTCTGTAGGTCAGATTCTTCCCTACTCTGTTCCCATAGTTCTGTTTTTCCCACCTCCTTGGCTTCTTTCTCCTGTCCCCTCTGTCTCTTTCCGGATCTCAGCAGTTGGGACCCCATCAGTTGTCTCCCCAATTTTATATTATC